AACTTCAAACTTCGCACGAAATTTCACACCGTAAAAACAATTTTGGAGAACTTAACTGGTGAAATAAATGCAACTAACACAAAGTAGTTCGAAAAAAATATGTTTTTTAATACATCTTTCTTTGTCTACTATCTGAGTTACTCGCTCGTTGCCGAGATTTTTACAAATCGGTAGTAGACGGCGCGCAAGCCGATTCAATGACAGAACCCATTTGTAATCTGTAAAACCAATTTACTGCGGGAAAAAAAATAAATAAATAAACATGTTATTTGCCGGCTTACGGTCGGCCCGTATGGTGAAAAACTGTGACCTCGGGCTTGAAAATGCTGCCCGAGGCCTGCGGCCTCGGGCAGCATTTTCAAGACCTCGGTCACAGTTTTTCACCATACGGACCTCCCAGCCGGCAAATAACATATATGTATCTCAGTGTAGCTATTGGCAATTTAGGCTTAGTAGGTTTTTAATTAGGTTCTTAATCTCTATGAAAGAGATATTTGAGTTGATTACTAGAAAAATAAATATACCTAGGTTTCAAACCGTTTGGTGCTTGAATATACAATATTTTAATCACAATTGTGTCATGTATTTTCTTGTAATGTAAATTTGCAATCTCAAAGCCACACTCTTAGGCTAAAATGTTCATCATAATTTAACTGTAACCAACGTACTGTACATATAAGAACCTGTTTGATCTTGCTCGGTTAAACAGGTTCTTATATTTTTGGCTATTAAAAATAATAGCAAATTTCTGCTAGCGGGATCTGATAAATACACCACTAGGTTCTTACATAAATACATCCGCGGTTTTACTGTAACATAAATCTCAAAGGATGATCAACAGCCTCTGTCATCACTGATCATCACTGTCTTGACTAGTGAAACATATATTGCATCTTGCATGCATGGTTGTTCCTGCCTATTGTTCAATACTTGTAAATGCACTGATAACTATGTGAAGTAAGGCCAATACACCGTTATTAACCATTTCAGTGTTCTGCAAACAGAATAGAAGACGGAGTGAATTAATAATCAGGTTAAAAAAATATGTATAATTATTTTCAATCATTAATTAGAAAATCATTATTTCCAAAGAAATAAACCATTTAAATATATCACATCACCTCATTAAATCACTTGTAATCTACGACTTCTTAAAGTTTTGAAGGTATTGCATAATTTCCTCTTTCTTAAGGTGGCTCAAAACAATTTCCGGCACTTACATTTAGATGGGTCGTTATAACCACTCTTTACCACTTGATGCTACAATCATGATATCAAAAAATTGCCCGATCATTGGTGAACACGTTGTTATCGTTTTTGTGACACAATAGCTTACTATAGCAACAGTATGACCTCCTAAAAACACCCTTAATTACAGCTTTAGACGCTTATAATTCAAAAACGGCACGGTGAATTTTCTTTATATTATCAACTTTTGATAAAAATGATAATACTCAACGTTTGGCAAAGTTTT